TTTCGGTGTTACCCCACCCACTGACAAGTACCAGTGCATGCACATGTTTTTTAAGCCTCTTATACGGGCAATCACAGAACAAAATTTCACTGGCCTGACCGCGGCAACAACTGCAAAGCAAAACAAAACAAAAAATGTAAATAAAAGAAAATGAAACTTTACAATCTGCACACAATGACAACTCCATTTTTAAGATACCAGTAGTTTCTGTTGATCAGTCAGTATCCGTTACCCGTGTTAGCTAGTTGCCAACGAGCACATGTACTTGTCCATTCAACGTACATGTGTCTATCAGTATTCCTGAATTGTATTGTGTTTACCCTTTACTGTCTGGACATGAACATGACTTATTGTACTATATGATGTATTTAATACTAGCAACAGTCCATAACTGGGGGTTATGCATGGACTCTTGCCGCATAGTATACATACAGTCAAGAGTACATAAACCGTTTTTGTACTCTTGATACAGTATAATTATATACAAGCGTGGATCAAATGGGATCGATGGGGATCAAAATGGAATCGATGGAGATCAAATGGGATCAACGGGGAAGGCATTTTCACATTATCATACCTAGGTCAAGTCTTACGAAGTAGTTGTTGCGACTTCGGCGATGATTTGTAAGAGCTCCGGTGTGAGGAGCAAACCCTTTCTTAGGTCAAATCTTGGTCCTTTTAAAACAATTACATGTGGCACCAAGACTCAACAGGCTGCGTGGAAGGCTGCTTATGAATAGTGGCAGAGGAGGCTGCCGGGCCGGCTGCAGTCGCTGGTCAGGTGGTAGAGAATAATTCCACCTGTCTGCTGCATGCCAGGTCGGCTAGATTGGCAAAGCGTAGAAACCGTGGCGTGCAGAAGCATTAGGTAATACATTACAGTGTAATGCGAAAGCGAGGGTACCACAATCTTAGTAATGTTACCGACACCGATAGCAGAGTGGATGTAGAGGAGCTACATGTGCATGTACAACGCGTAACAATACTAACATGACAATTGTGACATGGTATTCCCTGTACATGCCTGCATTTGCTACTCGTTTGGTAGTGTCGAAGCGGGTTGAGAGAAAGTGACGGGAGGCGATGTCATGCTCATCGCTTTGCCCCCTGGCGCTGAGTGCCGCTGACACGAGTGACAGTTTGGCGGGCGGCCGCTCCAATACAGGGTTCCTTTTACCTGGGCTACAAAATAAATTTAATTGCCAGCCCGACAGAAGCTAGCTTAGTCTACAATTATATCTATGGCTGACATCTAGGGATTAGATTAAAATTATTCAGGCTGCGTTTCAGCGAAATCCTGACATCGACAGAAGCTACCTAGAGAATTTTCTAGGCTATCGACTGGATTCACTTCGGTCAGTGATCAGTCTGCATCACTATGCGGTTAGACCAAGCGTAGTCTCGGGATGGACACGGAGGTCTGCCGACATTCCTGCAGTGCTGATCGACAAAACCATGCACGGCATTGGCAGACTGGTGACCGTGAACAGCTCTGCATTGGTCACCATGGTCACTGGCAACAACGCCCGCACCTGCCTTGCCTTATTACTTATTTAGTTGCTAGTGGTGCATGCTTTAGAAAATAATAATAAATAATAATATTATCTAATCTGTAATACAAGCAATCTTCCAGCACTGGACGCTTGGAAGTCCACCTTCATATCAGAAGGACCTGCAACTAGGCACCGGCGGATTCTACCGGAAGAAAAATTGGCAGAATTCGGTACTTTTTCTGGTAAGTTTCATGCATGTTTGGTGTATGTGGTTAAAAAAATGGAGCAGAATTCGAGGAATTGCCCGCCATAAGGTTTGTATGGTTCTGCCAATTTCACTGCTTTTCGAGCAGAATCCGCCGGTGCCTACCTGCAACGCGTTAGTAGTAGTAGTAGTAGCAGTAGTAGTAGTAGTATGGTTGATAAATATGGTGGTAAAGACACACCTGGCAATATGGCGGTAAACACACGCCTGCCCACACACGCTCTCTAGGCTGCAAAGTTCTGGCACAGAGCTCTCCTTCTCACCACCACCACCATCAGTTCGCGCCTGGCGCCTGGTCGATGCATGGTTGGCGGTATCCGGCATAGCAGGCTGGTACATCAAGTAGTGCATGGCACATAGCAGATGACACAGCAACGACATAGCTCGATTGCGACGTACGTTTCGTCCCCGCTGGACTCATCAGGCAATCTTCTTCTTGGATGTCTTCACACGGAGCTTGACTCGGGAGAATGAATTTGAAGACACCACTGCAGCTGTACTTATGGTTGATAAATATGGTGGTAAAGACACACCTGGCAATATGGCGGTAAACACACGCCTGCCCACACACTGCCTGCCCACACACGCTCTCTAGGCTGCAAAGTTCTGGCACAGAGCTCTCCTTCTCACCACCACCACCATCAGTTCGCGCCTGGCGCCATGGTCGATGCATGAGTCAAGCTCCGTGTGAAGACATCCAAGAAGAAGATTGCCTGATGAGTCCAGCGGGGACGAAACGTACGTCGCAATCGAGCTATGTCGTTGCTGTGTCATCTGCTATGTGCCATGCACTACTTGATGTACCAGCCTGCTATGCCGGATACCGCCAACCATGCATCGACCAGGCGCCAGGCGCGAACTGATGGTGGTGGTGGTGAGAAGGAGAGCTCTGTGCCAGAACTTTGCAGCCTAGAGAGCGTGTGTGGGCAGGCGTGTGTTTACCGCCATATTGCCAGGTGTGTCTTTACCACCATATTTATCAACCATAAGTACAGCTGCAGTGGTGTCTTCAAATTCATTCTCCCGAGTAGTAGTAGTAGTAGTATTTATTATTTTACTAGGGCAATCCCCACAGACAGACTGTGAGTCTTTTTACAGGGTACCCTAGGTAAGTGCGTGAAATAGAGCTGAATTAAGAAAGCCGTAAGTGCGTGAAATAGAGTAAAGAAAAAAGAAAACGATGGCTGCATACTGTGCCATTATGTGTTGCAAAAGAGGCTGCGAAGAGTACTGTTGAACATTGCAAAGGAGGCTGCCTGGCGGCATGCTGCTGGAAGCGAATTCCACCTGTCAGCAGCCAGGTAAGGCAAAGCATAGAAACCGTACCGTGACGAAGCATTAGGCAGGGCTAAAGCCAGGGCGGACTGTCCCCTGGTCAAGGCATTGGTATGGTTGCTATTTGATCTAAGTACAAAAAGCTCGGCAAGTAGAGGGCTGCGGCGGCCATGCACACATTTATAGACAAGGCAAAATATCTTTAGGTTATAACGGATGGCGACAGGAATAATTTTGTGGCGTTGACAAATGGTGGCGGTTGGGTGGCATGGTGGGTAGCCAAATGTTATCCTGAGGCTACGTTTGAAGCATCGAATGAGTGTGTTGTATAGGGTTGCTGATATCGTGTGAACGTAGCAGTTGCTGGCGTACTCCATGGTGGATTGGATAATGCTTAGGTAAAAGGAACGTTGTGCCTGGGTGGTGATGTGATGTCGTATTCTGCGGAATGCGGCCAGCTTACGGTTGACGTCAGCAACAACTTTCCCGACCTGCTCCTTGAAGGCAAGGTGCTGGTCGACTAGCACTCCAAGGTAGCGTTAGCGTAGTACAAGTACTTTTTTGTTGTTGTTATAATAACAGGGGTGAAAGTTGGCACTGAGATCCCGAGTTCGAGTACTCTGATTTTCTCCGATCGAATATCGAGTACATGTGTGTATTCTTAATCTCCTAAAAATTGCACACCAAGCTGGGGCCTTAAAATCACATGATTGAAACGAGTAGAAGTCATCTTTCTCGGGGATATTAGTTGGTGGGTCATTTGGGCTCTCTCTACTCGTGAACAAATGTTCACCACACACTCTGCACAACAATATCTGCCGAGTGCCGACTGCTGCTCTGAAACTGCAGATTTCTGTGGTAAATGCCCGTACCATCTATGAACGAGTACTCTGATTTATTCCGAGTACTTGAAGTACGATTCATGATTTTGAAAAATCCGAGCGAGTACTCGAGGATTCGGCCCTATAATTATAATAATCATGAAGTGCAAGAAGCGTCCAACTGTCCAATGTTGAAAGAGAACGAGTATGTCAACGAACCCACAATGACTTCATTCGATACCTTTACCACAACAGTTCGGAGACGACTGACTGTTGATCAAACCAGCTTCTTGGCAAGAGCATCACAGGTCAGGCCCGGCGGTAGACGGTGACCAGCCCCCGCTTACACTAGTTTGTCACACTTACTCTTTATTTTAGTTCTCACTTTTTGTAATACTTACCACAAGTTACCCGTCATGTGTCACACTTAATTCTTTGGATTTTTAACCTTTGTTTTTCCCTTGATCTCTTTAGTTCCGTATTTCCACTGATGATCGGAGCGTGAAAATCGATTTTGGAAACACACAAAAACCAAACCTTGAACAAATTGTCATGTTGCGTGGTGATGTCTGCGGCATTCATACTTTTCATAGCTATTATTCTTATTTCCGATATTTCTTACACACGATAAATCAAGTGTGACATATCATGATTGTGCATGTACGCAGAGGCAGGAAGATCATCGTACATGCAATGTAGTGTTACTGTGCATGCGGCTGGTCATAGTCACCATAGCGGCATAGGCTTACCATGTGGCTATGCAACATGATGAGTTACATGACCACAACAGTTGAACCTGCACTGGCTGCAGAACTACGGCCCAACGCGAGTCAGGTCGGAACTGCATTGGACGGATGTTATTACTACGGGCGATATACTTTGTACTAATCTGGTATGTTTTGCTTTGCTACACAAAGTCCATTCTTAGGACCGATATATTCTACTGTACGATAAAATGGCTTGTAAGAATAAATGTGCACTTGAAATCCATGTTATGATTATGAAAACATGAGAGTTCATTCTTGTAGGCAGTATATTCTTTTACACGACCACGCTATAACCCATACACACTGTACTACTACTAGTATCCACCAACGTAACCAGATCAGAGGGTGCGACAAAATCATGCACAAAACTGACAAGGAGTACTGATACATTGAAGACCTGACACTCAGCTCCAACACTTTTCCGAGGCGCGAATCAACACCCTTCTCTGAAACACAAGATAGAGAGACCATGGTCTTTCAGCAGCAGAAGAAGTAGGTATGGAAAGAATCTTAATTCTAAAATAGATGAAGCTGACACCCCAACTTGAATGCGCTTATAGACCAGTGAATACCAAAAATCTGGAGTATCAAAATTCAATTCTTCATAGATAGATAGCAGCAGCGATTCGGATGCACGGTAGCCTTGTAGATCTGAATTGGAAAGTGATGCAGGGAAAATAAATGTTGCCGTCAATAAATACTTTTTCTAAGTGCATGAAGTGATGCAATAGGTGCGCACAATGCACCTATTAAAAAGGTATAGCGAGTCAAGTCTTCGCAGCCCTGTGACTGGACACTGGTGAGGTGCGCCAGTCCAGGCCAGGTCTCAAAATAAAGTACATGTATCAATACAAGATTCGATAGGCTTTGAATAAAATCCAGTTGTTCACGCATGTAGCATCGACAAGTTCGAGGGCAGCTAGTTTGGGCTAGCCCCGTCTGTTCATAATGCATAGGCATTGGTCTCCTTGCCAGAGGAAAGGCGTGGCCGTGATGTCATAATTATGCATGGGAACTAGATAAATACGATCGGAAGAAATCATTATAAGCACAGTAAAAACTGTCAAGGCGTCCACGGCCACTCGGATTAGGCAACCACCTGACCAGCACCAGGGGATGCTTTAGCCTAACTAGTGACCCTGGATAACGAGACCACCTGGTAACAGAGACCACGTTTGAAGGTACCTTGAGGGGTCGTCTTAGACAGGGTTCACTGCATGCACGATAACGTTTGTTGAGAGTCGCAGTCGACTAGGTCGAGTTACTCTCCTGTAGGTACCTCAGCACTGGCTCAGCCCACACAGCCGGGGTGCAGGTAAGCAGCACGGACGTTCGGTGCAGCTTCAGCGTGACCAGGCTCATCTGCAGGCTGTCGCGCACGTCGATCACTATCTCCCTGCTCGCCCAGGCGTGGTTCACGCTCGCCGAGTAGTTCAGCCGGCCGTCCAGCAGCACGCGGAACTGCACGCCGGTCATCTCGCGCGGTTGGCACGACGACGCGTCTAGCCCCACCGTGGTGGTGAAGTGCGTGAAGCGCTGCCCGCTGGCCCGAAACGCCGTCAGGTTGACGTCAAGCCGACTCTCCGGGTACGCGCCGATCAGACGCTCCACTCGGAGCGTTCTCGGCAGTGCCCGGTTCTGCTGCTGCTGCAGCGAGTTCTCCGACGCATTCATCGCCATGGCATTGCTAGCGCTGGGCATGTTCAGCACCACGGGAACATGCTGCTTCCACTTGCCGGCACGGTCAACGCCGATGCGAGTGCCCGGGAAGCTGGTCGCTATGGCGATGAACGGGTTGCTGCGCTTTGTCACGGACCCGGAGCAGGCGAAGCCGCGGTTCTTCGTGCGCATCTTACCCAGAAAGCAGCTGAGCGGCACCAGCCGAGCCTCGGCCATCACGTTGTAGCAGTCGTGCTGGCAGCTGGCGAACTGCAGCGGCCCCTCGGCGGGACTGACTCTCGCGTTTGCCATGGCAACCACGCCGCAGTGCATGTCGCCGCCTGTCGTCGCCCTGGCGCGTTTTGCCATGGAAATCAAACGCACGCTGATCGTCAGCTGCCGGCGAGGACGAACGCCGTCAACGATGGTTGCCGGGACGATGACGAATGGTCCGATGTCCCACTGCGTACCGTGTGCTGCAGAGACGCGTAGCGTGCGTGATAGCAAGTCCTGTTTGCCGATGGAGAATGTCACGGCCACCTTGGCACCTTGTCCGCCCGTCAGGTTGCTGCAGGCTTCCAGCTGGTCGCCGTGGGGGGTTATATAAGCCAGATGACCGGACATGATGGCCCAGTCTCTCTCGGCGACCTGCAGGTTGAACTTGCTACGATGTCCGGATGGCGTGACTGGTAGAAAGATGTCCGTACTGCTGAACGCCCCGGTCGCCAGCAGGCCTTGCCGCTGCGACTCAAATGTCCCCGCCTGCCCCCGATCCTGGGGCCGATTGACCCGCTCCGTACCGCCACCCTTGATAAGAGTATACTGACTGACTTGGTGGCTGCCGGTGCCGCCAATTTCGTTGCGTTTGGCCAGGCACGCCAGTGGCACGGCGTCCGAGCACACGTCAGAGCACGGCTCGTCTGGCGGGGCGACCGTCAGGCGTGCGTTCTCCCAGCGTACCCAGCAGTAGCGACGCAGCGCGGCACGGGCCGTGGGCGGCGTGGTGCGCAGCGTCGTCTCCAGGTGCAGTCGGCATGCCGACGCCCTGTTTCCGTGGTTACCATGGCCGCTGTCATGGCTGCAGCCCATGGAGAGGTTCAGCGGCACCGTGGTGGCGTCGTCGAAGCGCAGCTCCCGGGCCACGTGGCTGCGGTAGATGGCCGCTCCGTGTCGCGCGCGGATCAACACCCGCACCTGCAGCCGCGCTCGGTAACGTCGACACACGTCTGCCGTACCGCCCACCCTCAGCACGGCCAGGAAGCGACCCACCCGATACTGGGCCGTTTTCAGCAGAGCCAAGTTGAAGCGCAGGTCCGTGAGGTCCGTAGTGGCAATGCCACGCCAAGCGTGCTCCTCGGATCCCGCTCGCCGCCCTACGTTTCGGCCTCCAGAGACGGTGTCGGAGGTGCTAAATCCTCGATCAATCCCCACTCCGTATCCGGCCTGTCGCTGCAGTTTGGCCAGTGGCAGATGACTGGCGTAGGTGATTGTCGGTCGGCCATGATACCCCGCTCCCAGCAGGCAGGAGAGAGGGGCTGTTCCCGAGCAGAACTGTGTCCGGCAGCTGACAAGCCTAACACAATCAGTCCTCGCTGCCGCCGCTGATGCTCCTGCTGCTGGTGGAGAGAAAGCATCGTCCTCGTTGTCTGCATCGTACGCGCTATTTGTCCTGCTCTCTCGGTTGCAACACACGTTTGTTCTCGGCAAGCACACGATGTTTCTTGATTGCTGGTTCACGTCCAGACCCCGTGCAGGGTTGGCACGCGCGCGACGATTTTCCGCAGACCAGCGCAGCACCGACTCCAGTTTCCATGGTGTGTGAGCGAAGTCGCTCTCGGTCTCAAGGACCTCGGTGCCCGAAGGATGCGTCGAGGACGACAACGACCATTCTCGATCGAATGGAGCTGTGCTGGAATGCTGCAAAATCATCGTGGCTTCCCTGCTGTCAAGTCCCGCATACACAGGACGACTTGAAACCTGGAAAAAAAAGACGAGGAAATCCACAGAAGTGCACGGTTTTGAGCCGCACAGAGCAGAGTCTCCGGACTACAAGCGACAATCCATGTGCATGATGGAATTTGCGTGCAATCGGCCCGAATTTTATCCTGACCGTTACCAGGTTACGCGTTGTAACTAACTTTCTTGTAGTTGATTTTTACAGTTATTCATGCACGGAGTAGATTCATGCACGGAGTAGATTCATGCACGGAGTAGATTCATGCGTGACCTCTTCAGCGCATCAGAGTGGATGCGTGCATGGCGATGCGAGAGAATGCAATCTGGGTATGTGGTGCGTTGAGCTTACTATTGGCACGAGAAAGTGGTGAACATGCCACGACGCGATCAGCAGACGCAGCAGCAACGACAGCATCGCGATGTCAGCGGCGCGAATTGCTCTTGACGGGATTGCCAACGCCGGCAATGGCTGCGAATCGGATCACCCACTGGTGCGATAAACTTGGGGCCGCAATGTCTGCCAATGCAGATGTTGGCACGGGACGGGGAGGTGCATTCAAACTCGAACGACCTTTCTCCAAGATTGGCAATGTTTGCCCAACGAATAGTGATGTGATCGGGGTCAATGACTTGGCCAAATGACAAAAAGTCGAGCTCAACTGTCATAAAGGCGACTTTGCCCCCAAGTCGCGTCGTTTCGGAGAGCATGAGCCAACTACTGAGTATGCGCATACCATGCATGCAGAACGCTGATGCATTCAGGGAAAGTCCTGAGGCTTTCAAACTAAAGTTGGCCCTCCGCCAGGCTCCTGGCAGACCAGATTTGAGAGTGACCTGCTCCGGGCGAAGGAGCTTCATTTTATGTCCCTGCCGCTCATGGAACTGTAATGATCTGATTCCAGAATGCCGGCCGCGTTGCTGTGAGTCGCTCCTGATTAGCCTATCCAGGCCGAAATGTGACCAGGTCCTTGTGAAAGTCATGTGCTGTAAGCTGCAGCATTCCACCGAGGACGAATGTGGCGACGTCGGAGGAAGAGCATTTTCACGAACGGCCAGCTTCGCGCGGAAGCCAGCATCGGCCTAAACATGGAGGAATCGCTGTCCAATGGTAGATGTAGCGCTCGGATGCCCAAATTAACGTGGGTGGTCGCGCCTATGTACACTCGCTGTGCATGTCGGGAAGACTCGCTCTGTGTTGTGTAGACTTGCTTCTGTGCAGATTCGTCACAATGAACGCTGTATGTGTGTAGAAGCTAAGCTGCATGTTCCTCGACGCTATCCGTACCTCGGTGCACGTCTGATGGCCCATTTCAACCGTATTGTCCGATCAAGAAGGTGCTGCAGCACGGAGCAGCGCTCAACGCAGGCCCACACGCAATCTGCAGGTTGACTGCCTCGCCGTCCTGCCATCTAGGGCCTGACCTTTGCGATCCTTGGGACAGGCTTCGACAGAAGCATTGGCGCTCAGCGGCCGTCGTTCCTCACACGTCTAGTCTGCGGACCGTGTGCAGACGCCTAGCACGTCTGCGCTTGCTCCTCGCACAGGCAGCGATCGCTAAATGATACTCGCGCTCGTGATCAGTGCGGCGGTTGGTCAGCTGGCTCCAATCCAGGCACAGCTCCTGGGCTCCGGATATTCCCTGTGCATAATTATATGCATGTAGGCAAATGCTCCTATGTACGTGTATACCAGGGTCCTGTTACATAACTATCAGTTCGTAGCCTCCTCCTGTCAAGCTGTCATCCGCACCACGTGGTAGCGCC